GTGTGTGTGTGTGTGTGTGTGTGTGTGTTTGTGTGTGTGTATGTGTATGGGTGTTTTGCCTGCATGTATGTCTGCATACCACAAGTGTGCGTTGGCCTCTAAAGTCAGAAGCCAGAATCCCCTGGAACTGGAGTTACAAATGGTTGTGAACTGAACCCAGATCCTCTGGAAGAGAAGCCAGTGCTCATAACTGCTGAGCCATCTCTTTACCACTCTACCCTTATTTTTTTCTTTTTCTTGGTTTTTTGAGACATGGTTTCTCTGTGGCTTTGGAGGCTGTCCTGGAACTAGCTCTTGTAGATCAGGCTGGTCTCGAACTCACAGAGATCCGCCTGCCTCTGCCTCCCAAGTGCTGGGATTAAGGGCATGCACCACCAATGCCCGGCTTATCACTCTCCCCTTAGTTTGAGATGTAGCCTGGGCTGGCCTAGATCTCACTATGTAGACTTCAGCAGGCAAGCATAGGGAGTAGTTTAGAACCTGGCACTCTGTTTGGTTTGGTCTACATACATCACTCGTATCACTCTTTGAAAAACTCACCCAGCAGCCGGGCAACTACACACACACACACACAATACCTCAGACCCTCATCTGCCTCAGGCTATAGTACTCCCCTCTCTGAACAGTAGTATAAGATTTCCCTCCCTTTAATGACTGTCAGTTTCTATTCAAATGTTTTCTCAATACATCCTGGTACAGTGTGTGTGTGTGTGTGTGTGTGTGTGTGTGTGTGTGTGTATGTGTAATCCAGTCTGAACTGGTTTTGGATTCATGCCCAGTAAGGCAAATCATCACATCAAGTAAAGGTGTAGGGAGAGCCCTCTATTTACCATGTAATGTCTATACATGATGGGGGGGTGCTTAGAAGCCAAATCAGATGCATTATGGAAAGCGGCCTGTGCTCGGCAAAGTGATTATACAACCTAATTTATCAATTGAAACAGAGACCTGCCCTCACTACACCTTGTAAACAAGCTCTGCTTCACGGACCTCATAAAGAAGAGTCCAACAGGAACTGTGGCCCCTGCTGCTGTCCTGTAGGATGGTCTGGTCTGTTCAGACCCTCTGCCTAGAGGAGTTCCCTGTCTTGCTGCTCTAGTAAGAGACCAAAAACTTGGAAACCCCCAATTCTGATCTCAATTACCAGTGACACAACCAGGCTGTCCCCGAACTAACTCAGAGATCTGTTTGCCTCTATGTCCTCAGTTCTGGGGTCATAGGCATGAGATGAGCCACCTGGACATTCCTGTAACCTTTTAAAACCTCAATGTAGGAAAATCCTGGATTAAGAAAATCAGGATTAGCATGTTTGAAGCAACTGAGGTTTAATACTAGAAAAGGTGCGAGGCATTGGTGGCACATGCCTTTAATCTCAACCCTCTGGAGGCAGAGGCAGGTAGATCTCTGTGAGTTCAAGGCCAGCCAGTTCTACATAGTGAGTTCTGTCAAAGGACGGGAGTTGGGTTCCCAACACCCATGTCTGGTGGCTCATCCATGCCTGTACTTCTGCTCCAGTAGATCTAATGCCTTTTGTTGGCCTACACGGGCATCTGCACACAGGTGGGTATGCACACTGGAATCTACACAGAGATACACATAGATAAAAATAAGTCTAAATTAGAAACTCAACAAAGTACAACTGAAATCACAGGTGTGTTGGTTTCTCAAAAAGGGTTGCAATCCTATTTATCTACTTTATTTATTTATTTATTTATTTATTTATTTATTGAGACAGGGTCTCTCTGTATAGCCTGGCTGTCCTAGAACTCACTCTGGACCCTGCGGGCCTAGAATTCACAGAGAATTTCCCACCTCTGTCTCCTGAGTGCTGAGATCAAAGGCGTGTGCCACCACCACCCGGCTTAACTTGTAATTTATTAGGAAAACACTTTTGATAGAATTTAAGCATGAAGGTTAAGAGAAAAAGAGACACTGAAGGTAGTATTAGCCATATGCCTCACTCAAGGGGGCTCAGTGTGAGCACTGACACTGAGGTGACAGACACAGCGGTG